ACTGCAGCGTTCAACCTGCATTAATTCAAACAGCTGCGTTAGAGGCCGGGTTTTGTGATGATTAGGATGTAAACTGCATCGAAGGACGTTATGAGATGTCCCCGGAAAAGGAGATCTAGGCCGTATTTATCGAAATGTTGAAAAAATATTAATACTTATATATTATAGTGATTTGTGAATCATGATAGTTAAATATATATATATATATATATATTATTTCTGACTTGATTACAACTTGTACAATAATTTTTGAAAACTCAAAATCAATTTTAATTATTAATAATTATGAACTTATAACTAACTAATATAAAAAGAAAAAAACTTTTTCTATTTCTTCTCTTTCTCATTCTTCTTATCATTCTTTATAATTTACTTCTTATTTTTCTTCTTCTTCTTCTTCTTCTCATCTGAGATGATAATCATCTTAAAATCTCTCTTCACTGCCTTCTCAGAGAAGGATTCTTACTGCTCTCTCTTAGTCAGATTAATCTGTGTTTTAAAATCCTGCATTTTCTGATCTGCTGTCTTGAGTTCCACTTTAGCAGTAAGCAGATTAACATGCTCAGAGAGCAGAACTGTCTTTTCAATATTCTGAATCATGAAGTGTATTCAAGATCTGAACAAGGTCTCAATTCTCTTCTTCTCTGTCAGCTTCTGCTAATCAATTAGAGAACAGAAGTATTATTAAAAATTGTTATCTCTCAATAAATAAAAAACTTATCAGTTTTGACTTCTTTATCTCTTACTTTAACACTCTCTTAATCTTCTTCTATTATCACTTATTTACAGTAATACTCTTCTTCTCTCTTTCTCTCTTTATCTTGAACTCAAATCATTCTCAGAACTTCTTCTGATCTTATTACTACTATATAAGACTTTTCACTGTCTTCTTCTTCAATCTCTCACAAGCAGTGTCATTCGCATTATTTCTATACTTAGTTCAGTCTAAATCTATCAGAAGTATTACTTAAAATCATGATTATTTTACTCTCTTACAGAGTCTCTTTAAGGTATTATAACATGTCTTACAATCTGTCTTCTCTTACTTAAACATCTTCTTCTTCTCTTTCTTCAATCTGTGATAGCATTCATATGCCTTGATGATTCACAGAACTGCAGAATATTTGAAGAGACATGACATGATTAATTCTAATAAGTATTAAAAAGAGATGAAGGCAGAAGAGATGATCAGAAATAATATAATAATTATAATAATAATAATGATGATGATGATGATGATGATAATAATAATAATAATGATAATGATGATAGTGATAGTAATAATAATAATGATAATGATGATAATGATAATAATAATGATGATAATAATGATGAAAGAGAGAGTGTATTGAAATATATTACTGACTTATCAAATATAAAGAGATAAAGAAAATATTAACAGCTTTCAGAGATATATAGAAACAGCTACAGTGTTGCATAGTAATATCATCTTCATTTAATATATACAGTGTTGATATTCTTTGTATGCAGTTATTATATAATCTATATTAGAGATATATGTAGAAAACAGATCTTTATTACTAGAGAGAATGATTACAGCAATTCTCTATTTTCATATTATAAAGATAAGTTATTCTCATTTCTTTCTTCTCTCTTTTCTCTTTTTCTTTAACTCATCACTAAGTTCAAGCTGATATGAAAACTATTAAACACTCTTAGAATTCTTAAATTGAGAGTATAGACTAATCAAATTTTAAATACAGAGATTAAATTACATTGATATACTATATCATTCTCTTTTAATAAATCATA